GACGGGAGGAATAAACCAGGCAGACTGCAGTTGGAAACCTCGAGACTGCAGAGCAAGCCCTTGCGTGAGGTGGCAGGGGGTGTTCGTTCGGGAGGCGAAGATATCATCCGGCTGAGGGCTGGGATCAGAGCATGATAAGGGACAGGCAGGAATACAATTCAGAGTGGCTCAGTGGCCTGTCTCCTGGGACATGGGGGGAAAGTGGACCCATGGTCTGGCCCGTGCTTGGAAAGAAAGGATGCAGATAGTTCTGTCCACACACGTGCATGGTACCCTTGTGCCCAGGCGCCTAGAAGAGAATACACACCTTCCCGTGAGTTCCTCACTGAGATGCCCGTCGTAACCCTGCAAGAATGGAGGTGCAAGCTGCTTTAAATTACCCCGCATTTTATATTCCTGGAACAGCTGTCACCTGCCTTGCCCCGGGGACCTCATTACCTAAAGAGGGATATGCAGATTTCACGCTTCCTCCGAACCTTGGGTAGTGCTGGGCTTTCTGAAAAGCCGGAAGCTATACCCTCCACCAAACTGTCAGCCCAAAATATGTCCCTTAGAAGGGCCGTGGGACAGGGGACAAAGTTCTGTCCTTCATAATTAAGGCGTGATTAATAACTTAATCAGAACAGAGAGCGGCCCACGCGATGTCGCCTCCCCTCATTTGTTGGGCGACGAACCCCCATTAATCACAGGACGTGCCGAATGTAAAAGAGACAGGTTGATTTGAAACCTAGCGTTGGGGTAACCTCACCACCGCTCCCTGATCTGCTTCAGAAGCGCTGCCGATATATCACAACAAGCATCACTGTCACTGGCCCAGCCTCTTCCTGATGAGCATTTTGGGCAAGGGAATGCAAAATCTGCGTGTCAGGGAAGCGTGCTCCACCCCACCTCCTCCCCCTGTGGGTCCTGAAAACTGCTTCACAGCAAATGCACCAGTGAGGAAGTTCCCCCGGGGTGCAGTCCCACCCAAGGGACCCGGAGCCCTGCCCTCGCTGACAACTGTCCCCCGCAGAGTGCAGGTGCTACCATTGCAGGATCAAGTCTTGTTGCAAAAGATCTTCCCTTCCTCTCTGAAAGATGGTCCTGCAGAGAAGCCTGTAACCCTGGCGTCAGCGGGGGTGAGAATGAGCCCTCCTCTGTCACGTCTGTCACAGCCCTCATGGCCTTGCCCTGGCTGCTGGCAGTCAGCACCTGTGTCCCTGAGCCCTCTCACGGCCACCTCCCTGAGCAGCACGCCCAACTGGAAACCAAGACCTCCTGCAACGAAAGACCACTCAGTCGCCTGGGGTACTTAGTTCCTTGCTACAGAAACACATCCGCAAGAAGGAAGTTTGGTAAAAGCGAGGTCACTCAGGAGGTTGGAGAATTTCCAGAGAACCCAGCCAGAGGATCGCTGGGTTTCAGGGTTACGGGAAAGAAGCCCCAAATCCCACCACCAGACGAGTCCCTTGAGGGGACTGCTGCCTTCGCACCAAGCCCGGATCCTGCAGCTTGCACCCCAGAGATGCTAACCCTGGGTACCACACATCCTCCCTAGGTTTCCCCAGGGCCACACGCTCTGCCACTGTGGTGCCGCTAGGGATGCCTCTTGGTGCCCAGGACTCCTTGACCCCAGCGCCTGACTCCAGGTCGGAGGTCTCTGCACATGCCCAGGTCTGGGGTCCACACCCAACAACAGGAGGCTGGGAAGGCCAGTGAGTGCCATGGATTTTCAGCTTTTGTAGTGGGAAATTACCTCTCGCCCACCAAGACTCATCCGGTGGGCATGCCCCAAACAGGAAGGAGGTTAGTTGTTGGGCTTTTTCTCTTTCATGCTTCTGTGGGGTGAAATGAGGCTTAAATATATCAACACCGGGGTGGCTTATAACATTATCCACAACAGGCAGTTAACGTTGTCAGATTCTGACAATGGGCCCATTGTCCAACCCTCCAGCCGCCTCCCCAAAGTCTTAGCTTGTAAACATCTGCAGTCCTTCCTCCTGCCTCCCTGCTAACAGGCGCTGGTGGCCTCCAACGCTCTGGGCGTTCCGAGGAAGAAGGACCTAGGAGTTTTGATTCTATTTGACTCACGGTGCAAATTCTTTTGGTTACTTTTCTCTTTGCAGTCTCTCTACTTTTTTGGTTTGCTGCCCCAAAAAGGGCCTTCTCTCTCTCAAGATCACCACCTATAGCATCACATAGACTATATCGAGGGCCAATAATTTCTTGGATGTGTGTTAAAATTCATGTTCCTGGGTCCTAGATCCAGAGATTGTGGTGTAGCAGGTGCTCAAAGTTTAAGTGCTTAGAGAATTCGCTAGCTCTCCTTATGCTGTCATCTCACAAGGAACTGCACTCACCATTAACTTCTTGAGTATTTGGGGCATCTGTCCTCACCCCAGATTTTAGACAGATCACACATCCGCAGCCAAGGAAACGCATCGCAGCTGTCCTAGACTTCCGAGTTACCCTCATGTGCTCCCGTGAGTCACAAGGATGTTGGGGATGAGTCAAGGTCTCCACAGCATCCATAGGTGTTGACACGATTCTCAGATAGCCGCTACCTCCTCAAACTCTCCTGTGTTTCCTTCCATCCTCCCCTTCTCCAGGATGACCAGCCTGTCTTGCTTTCCGTTAACTTCAGCCTTTACTTGGCAATGCTGGCTTCTTGACGGGATCTCCTTTCTCTGGCCCCACTGGGTAGAAGGGAGGTGCTCATTGCCTGATGCCCTGAGAACGTAGAGCTCAACCAAGTAGGCTGCTTAAATTCTAAGTTAGAGTCTCAGACACCCAGAGTCACTGCAGCCCCCATGGCACGAGAAGAAGTTCCCATCACCTTCAGAAAATGGGACTTCTGCTTCCTCAGGTGTGGGGGCAGTGGCCCCCACGATAAGGAAGCCAGCAGACTGTCACTGGGACAATGTCATAAAAAGATTCATCTTCATAGCTAGGGCTACCTCCTTTGAGTGTAAGCGTCTTTCATTCATTCATTCAGCCAATATGGCTTGCGGGCCTTCTGTGTGCAAGGCCCTGTTCAGGCCCTGCCTTATAATGGACTCACGACTTCTCTTGGGGCGCCGGAAAGGAGCCCACGTGAGTTCTAGGCCTTGTAAGAAGCAGATGCCAAGACCGGGTTACATAGCAAGGATTTTTTTTTTTTAACGTTTATTTATTTTTGAGACAGAGAGAGACAGAGCATGAACGGGGAAGGGTCAGAGAGAGGGAGACACAGAATCCGAAGCAGGCTCCAGGCTCTGAGCTGTCAGCACAGAGCCCGACGCGGGGCTCGAACTCACGGACCGCGAGATCATGACCTGAGCCGAAGTCGGCCGCTTAACCGACTGAGCCACCCAGGCGCCCCAGCAAGGATTTTATTAGGAGAATTACCCGCGTGAAAGCAGATAGGGAGAAACTGCGAGAGACTGAGAGAGCCCTTCTCCAAAGGCAAAGTAAGTCTGACCTTGAGTGAAGTGGAGGGCACGCGGTGGTCTGAATGTTTGTGTCCCCCCTCCCCCTGTTCAAAATTCATATGCTAAAATTCTCCCTGTGTAAGGATAGTAGAAGGTGGAGCCTTTGGGAGGTAATTGAGTCAAGAGGGTAGAGAGCCCTCATGTGTGGGATTAGTACCTTATAAATGAGGCTCCTGAGTGACCCCCAGCCCCGTCCACCATGTGGACTACAAGGAGAAGTCCGTGACCCAGAAGAGGCTCCTCACCCGGCCACGCTGGCATCCTGATCTCAGGCTTTCAGCCCCCAAAACTGTGAGACGAAAATGTCTGCCGTCAGTTTGGGTGGAAGCATCCTGAATGTTTTGCAGACATGCAGTGCCTAAGCCACGGTGAGCACTGGCGCCCAGACTGGCCGTAAGACAGTACAGCGTCACCCAGCAACGGGTCCCTGTTAGTGTCTGCCCTGCACTCGGTCACTGGCGGGGAACAGCCTACACGGGGTGAGGCCTCAGCGCACGTGCAGCAAGGGACTTCGACGGCCCAGCAGACGGCCCCCCCATCATCTGTGCTCTTGGCTGTAGGGGGTCTGCCGGTCTCACTCTCCTGATGGCCCCAGGGCCATGCTTTTAACCAAAACCAGAATGAGGAAGGGAGCCCGAGGAAACTTTGGCATGAAGTCGGATCTAATGTGAGAGCAATTGCATCCACGTTCCTGAGGTGGCTTAGGTCGGCTTGGCCAATAGCCACTACCTACCTTCTAAAGACCAGGAATAATTTACGGCAGGTGGCTATACATCGTGCCAGACGCTGGTCTGAGTTCACCCTCATATTTACGGGGGAAGGGCGAGCTGGACAAATGCTTTTAGGAGATGGCCTTTGTTTACTGCTTGTTTACAAGGCTGCAGTAAATGGGGCTTTTGCACGGTGAGGAAGCTGGGTTCGAGGACCCCCAGGCTTCCTTCTGTCTCAGGATCCCGCCATCTGAGGCTCCCTTTTACCCATCTGCCACTGGGGCTTCTCACAGCATCACAGCGGTGTGGATCCCGTTATCGGGGTAATTCTCAACATGCGCTTTCAGCGGAGATGGAACACACAGGGGGTGTAACTCCTGATGAAGTGTGTTCAGCCCGCCGGTTCCAGTGGGTCCAATTTGATCTTCACAGAGAAACGGACATGCAAAAACCACCCACGATGTGCATCCTTACCTTGAACCTGAGGCGAAAAGCAAGCTGCCGCGGCAGTGTTTGGGTCTTCCTAATGGATGCCACACACGTTTCTGGCGTGAAACATGTCCCTGCTTTCCTGTGTCGGCTCTGCTTCCTAATAGGACAGAGCGATGAGGCAGGGCATGAAATTTTCATAACCAACCCCTGCATTTACATGCACGAAAGCGGTGCTCGCCTGGGGAGACAAACAGCCAAGTCTCCGAGATCTAAAGTGATTCTGAATACTGGTGCCGTTTTCCTGGTGCTTTGAAATCGATAAGTGCGGATAACATTCACAAAATAATTTCTTCAGTCTTTCATTCGAAGATATTTATTGAGTGTCTGTTGTGGGCAAGGTATTTCCTGGTTTTTTTTAAGAGACTATGGTATAGCCAGAGATGCCGATAGACAGTGGGCTGGGGTTCGGGGGAATTTTATATTGATTTCTGTGGGTGTGGTAGAGGAGAGAACAGTCATAGAAGCAACACCTTAGTCTGTGGTAGGAGGACTGGAAGGTTCATGACAGTACATCTAACTAGGTAAAATAGTAATTATTTGTGATTTTTCCTACGTAGTTTGTGACTTTACGAGGGCTGCGAGGTAAGCTACAAACAGACCAATCAAAAACGGGTTGGGACCTTTGCATATTCAGCGATCAAGGCGCAGCCAGCTACGCCCAGGCCTGCGTGTGCCGTTCGGCACAGCGGCCACTGGCACGCGTGGCTGAGGTACATTGCAAAGTGCTTCATCTGAACTAAGGGGCTTTAAGTGAAAACTGCACCCTGGATTTCCCGACGGAGCTGCTCTAGACTATAAGCCTCCCGGAGACAGGTTCTCCTACTGTAGCCCCAGAACCCAGCACGACTCCTGGGACATACAAGGTGGTCTAAGATGTTTGCCGGGTGGGTGAGTGCATGAGTCAAGTACACGTCAAGACTGTCACAGGCAGGTAGGTAGGTGATTATTTATCATCTCACTCTGCACCTACTCATTCTCCTTCCGTAGTTCCTTCGTGCCTTCTGACCAGTGCTCTCAGAGGTCTTCCTAAGGCATCAGTGTGCAGATGACATCACGGGTCCTGTGCTAATCACGGCAGCTTCCAGGGGGCGCTGGTAAGCCCAGACGGCGGCCAGTGGATCTGTGGCATTCAGAGACTCTCTGAAGGGGGCTTGACTCTGTATACTCAGATTTCCCTCCCCGCTTTCTTACCTCTTATATTTCTCAAAAATTTTAGTCGACGCAAAGAAGTATGTGGTTATCCTTTCTTCCAGCTGATAGTTCTATGACCGTTGTTCCCGCTTGGAAACATTCCTCTGGCCGCTCCCTCGTCGTCCGTGGTCGTTCCTTCTGCTTTTTGTGGGTCTGTTTCCCTAAATAACAGGTTATAAATAGATAAGGACTAAGGAAACAAAAATGGGCTGTTTAGAATTGCATCTAAAAATAAGAATAAACCAGTTCCAAGCGAGGGCTTGAGGAGTCCCCCTGTAGACACAGTCTTTGGAGCACGGATTTAGGCTACTTCTGTTGGTTCTTATCACTAGTCCCCGGCTGTGTTTGAGGTGTGTGTGTTTCCAGAGAAGTGAGCTCTGAAAAGTGAGGTTAAGGAGTATCTAGGATAATGCCATATGTGGAAAGTTATAAGCAACTGGGGCAAGGTCAAGATAGTACTTGGCCGGGGAACTCAGATTTACCCAACCACACCTCCAAATGAGCATCTCTAGGAAAAGATATGCACAGAGAGCCAAGGACAAAGAAGGAATATGTCACTGCCAGTGGAGCTGTGCTCTCCTGTCCCACTGCAGAGCTCTAGTAAGCTGAGTCACCTGCCTCAGAGGACTCTTGTACTCAAGCCAGGCTGCTGTGAGTGGTGTCGGACGGAAGCCAGTCCGGAAAATGCTCTCAAAATCTGACCTCCATCTCGGAGAGCGGGACCCGGCTTGTGGCAGCCCAGAGCTCACGCACAGAGAGAAGAGCCGAAGCAAAGAAAGAGGGAGAAAGGGGAACAAATCTCCCCAAGGCTGAGGGGAGCTGAATATTTGTTAGGACACACAGTAGGCAATGGGCAGGGGTTAACTTTCAGAGAAGCCACGGGGACAAGACAACATGTCCCAAAGACGCCATACCCAAGCATGCTATACCTTTGAAGGCACCACCTGCTGAGACTGTAGCTCAGTCCACACTCTGGAGTCTGGCTAACCCATAGTAGCCCTCAGCATCCTTGGAGATAGGATGAGTTGGGGGCTATGTGGGGTACAGAAGAACAGACCTTCTTGACCCCAGAGGTCAAGAACGTCTGACTCCCAGACTATTCAGCTAAGAAAGAAGGGTGATTTCTTCAATTATAGAAACCTGCTGAAAAAGAAGAAAAACTAGCGTGTGTGTGTGTGTGTGTGTGTGTGTGTGTGTGTGTATATAAAATTTCTAATGAGGGCTTTACTAATTAGTCTTTGATTTGGATCATTTGCGGGAAAGGCAACAAATGATTTCTGAAAATGGGTTTCTTATGTATAGTTGTATTTTTTTTAAAAAGGCACATACTTTTATAGGGACATTTTATTCAATAATGATGGCAAATGGGATGAAAATCAATGCACCTCCCTCACGGCACCCTTTGAGCTGGTTTTCCCTGAACGTATTGCCGAACATAAGTGTCATTAAAAGGGATAAATACAAATCTATACGGATATGGGAGCTCCTCTCGCCCTCCGCCTCCCCTCCACCACGACAGGCCATCCATGGCCGCCCTCTTGGTGTGTATTTCACAGTTAGCACGCACTTACACAGAGCCACTATTTAATAACCCCTTTGTATGTCTCCCTAGTTATAATAATTACACCCATTGAATGAAGGTGGAGATAGAAGGTGCAAAATAGGATGTCCTTTTGGATTTGGAAAGAAATAAAGTTTAATCATTTCCTTCCTGTAAGCCTAACCCAAAGTATAGCGATGGTGCAGTCCCAGGAGAGTCACAGTTATCTCTTCAAGGCCATCTCATTCTTTTGACGTTGACTGAGAAGAAACGCAGACATGGCCACAACTAGACCACGGCAAAGGTTCTTAACGTCTCTGTCTTCCACCCTTTTCCCTGCACTAATCCATCACAAACACCTGACAGATTAATTCTGCTAAAATGCCACATTAATCATGTTATTCCTGTTCGCCGATCTTCCTAGCTCCTAATTACTTAGATAATTAAATTCAAGAACAGATTTGGCTTGCCCCAAGCCCTCCCCCACAAGGCCCACATCCTCCTATCCGGCCTTGGTCTCAGGCACCTCCATGGCTGTCCCCTTCCTGCTGACAAAACCCGTCTGCTTAGTGTTTCTCAGATAATTCATGAGCTTTCCCACACAGAGCATTTGCTCACGCCGGTCCCCAGGCCACAAACCTCTTACATCATTCTCTTTGCCTTTTCAGATCCTAAACTTCCTTCCTGCCTTCAGTAATCATTGAACACCTACAGTGTGTCAGGGGCTTCGTGGCAGCCCCGGTCTCAGCTCTGCCTGCCTGCAGGACGTCCTCCTTCCCCAGAGCACAGAGCGATTCATTTTTAGTCGTCACCCTGTCAATTAGCTGTAGAACCCTGAGACAATCTCTTCTGCCACTACTATAAACTGTCTGTGTCCATTTAGGCTGCTGTAACAGAACACAAGCACCTGGGCAGCTTATAAACAACAGAAAGTTACTCCTCACAGTCCTGGAGGCTGGGAGTCCAAGATCAAAGTGCAGACAGATTTGGTATCTGGTGAGGACCCTCTTCCTGGCTCATACACAGCCGTCTTTCTGCTGTGTCCCCAAGTGGCTACAGCGTGGGCAGGGGAGCTCTCAGGGGTCTCTTTTACAAGGTCACTCATCTCATTCGTGAGGGCTCCACCTTTATGACTTAATCACCTCCAGAGGCCCACCTCCACGTGCCATCACTGTAAGGTTAGGATCTAATGTGTGAATTTTGGGGGGGGAAGCAAATATTCACTCTACAACATATACCTTATGTTTTTTTTTTATTGTGTTTACCTCTCTCTCAATGAGATTTCCAGTTTCTCAGTGCAAGGATCATGCCTTATTCTTTTTGGTACCTGATGTAATGGCTTTGCCTGTGGTAGATACCTACCATGCTCAGTAAAGCTGTCATCTACGGATGACCTAATTAATTAATAGATCGATTTTATTAGTGATCTCTATACTCTGATATTTCCTATAGTAGACCCAAACATAGCCTTTCAAGCTTAGGGATCCATTCAGGGAAGGGGCAGCCATGCTTTGTAGGTAACCCTTGTCTTGGAGGAAAGGCTATGTAAACCAGAGCAGTCCCTGAGCTGGACATCGGACACGTGTGCATTTCCTAACTGTCCCGTGGCAACAACAAAATCACGAGCCAGATCACGGCGTGGTATATCCTATCATCATTCTCAATGGATCCACGCCTCAGGGAACCCCACAGCCTAGAGGCCTGTGATCTTGTTAAAACAGAAGTAAATAAGAGTTAAAATATTGCTTCTGCACCTGGAGGATATTACGCTCCGTGAAATAACGCAGTCACCAAAAGACAAATACTGTATGATTTCTCGTACCTGAGGTTTCCAGAATAGTCAAACTCACAGAGACAGAAAGTAGAATGGTGGCCGCCAGGGAGGCCGTGGGACAGAGAAATGGGGAGTTGGTGTTTAACGTGTATGGAGTTTCAGGTTTGCAAGATAAAAATAGTTCTAGGGATTGGTTGCACAACCATGTGAATGTACTTAACACTACTGAACTGTATATTTAAAAATAGGATGGCAAATGTTATGGTATGTGTATTTTACCACAATTTTTTTTTTAATTAACCATCAAACAGAAAAAGTAACTGCTTATGAGAATTCTAAGATGTATGTTTGGCAGATTAAAATCATTGCAACAATGGCAAAAATTTTTTTTTTCCTATGTATTGATTTTGAGAATAACAGAGATTCATAGGTGGTTTTCAAAATAAGTGAGAAATCTGCTTCGGTGTAGTTCAGGTAACTGATGAGCCCTTCCTTGGAAGGTCTTCCAACCTTGCCTTAAAAAAAAAAAAATAGATGCACATTTCAGTTGTCCAGAATGTATATTTCTGTTTCTCTTCTTGAATAATAAAAAAGAGGGGAACCTTACAGATCACTTTATGGTTTCTAAAATCTCTCACATTTGCTGTTCTCAGAGATAAGAATGCCACTGACATCTTCACCACCTCGTTTCCGTGTTTGATCATGAGCGAAGGACATTTTTCTCTTCCTTTCAAGTAAATTATTTCCATTCTTTTTATAAAGCCATTTCTTCTTATTTGGCCTTTTAAGCTAGATCGAAAAATCTTAGCAGCCTTCTCATAAAATCCTGCTTATACATTTGAAAGCAATGTTTGTGCATAGTTGTTTTTATTTTTTTTTACCACATCTACTTTCTTTTTAATGTTTGTTTATTTTGAGACAGAGTGGGGGGGGCGGGGGGAGGGGCAGAGAGAGAGGAGAGAGAGAGAATCCCAACCAGGCTCCATGCTGACAGCCCCACCACATCTACCTTTGATGAGACTTTCAGTCGCTCATGGATTGAACATTTAAGCCTCGAAGAGAGGCCATTTGTAAGAATTCACAATAGTGAAGGGGCACGCGGGTGGCTCCGTCGTTGAGCATCCAGCTCTCGATTTCAGCTCGGGTCGTGATCTCGCGGTTTGTGGGTTCAAACCTTGGCTTGGACTCTATGCCGTCAGTGTGGAGCCTGCCTGAGATTCTCTCTCTCCCTCCCTCTCTTTCTGCTCCTCCCCTGCTCAAGCTGTCTCTCTCTCTCTCCTTCTCAAAATGAGTGAATAAACACTAAAACCTTAAAGAGAAAGAATTAAAAACGGTGAAGACCTTTCTGTACCTACGTGAGCAGTTTGCACCACTTGTCGAGGAATCTTGCTACAAGTTTTTCTGGCAGCTCAGACACAAGAGGAAACACACTCGGTTATGTGTTCTGTTTTCCAGCAACAGAACGTGTTCAATTTTAAGTGAACTTGAAAACAGTAACGGGACACCTCCTGGTTTTACTTTCTCTAGAAGAGACGCGTATAATTCCATTTGCCTTTCCTTATAAATACTAATTTCCCATCCTTTTGTTAAGTCCTTCTCCTCATTTCCAGATCTTCCACTTTGTTTGCAACTTCCATAGCACAGTGAGCCAAACTAGACATTATGCCCTTATGCCCTGCTAACGAGTTGACTGGATGAAAGAATCAATGAATGAATCCTTCCCGGCCTGTGCAGGGTGTAATATCTCACCCATTGTTATGGCCTCCAAGGTGTTTTCTGAGATGCTTTTACTGAGCTAGCATTTGCTCAGCCCATATTTCCTATTCAATTCAGAAAGGACATGAATACCTACTAGTCTGGAGGCTGTGAAGCTTGAAGCATCTTGCACTTGGTAGAAATATAAATTGGTGCCACCACTATAGAAACGGTATGGAATTCCTTCAAAAAATAAACATAGAACTACCTACCATTTGACCCAGCAATCCCACTTCTGGGTACGCATCCGAAAAAAGATGAATTCACTTTCTCACGAAGTTATCTGCACCCCCCATGTTCATTGCATTAATCACAGTAGCCAAGATGCAGAAACAACCTAGTGTCCACTGAGGGGCGAATGGATAAAGAAGTCGTGGTGTAGACACACGACGGACTACTATTCAGCAGTGACAAAAAGGAGAGCCTGCCATTTGTAACAACATGAACAGAACTTCAGGGAGTTATGCCAAGTGAAATAAGCCAGAGAAAGGCAAATCCTGTATGATTTCCCTCTTAAGTAGATTCTAAAAATGTCAAATTCATAGCAACAGAGTAGAATGGTGGTTCCCAGAGGCTTGGGGTGGGGTAAGGGGATGTTGCAGGGAACAAATTTCCAGTTATAAGATGACTAAGTTCTGGGGATCCCATGTATAGCATGGTGACTATGGTTAACAATATGTATTATATACTTGATGTTTGCAATGAGAGTAGGGCATCCATGTTGTTACCGTAACTACAAAACAGGAACTACGTGATGTAAAGGGTAGGCTATATATGTGTGTGTGTGTGTGTGTGTGTGTGTGTGTGTGTGTGTGTATTTAGTGGCAAACATTTGCAGTACATAAGTGTATCAAATCATCCCACTGTACATCTTAACTTACATGATGTTATATGTCAGCTATATCTCAATAGAGCTGCAAAAAAATTGTTTTAAAAGAAGACCCAAGGTGGGGCACCTGGGTGGCTTGGTCAGTTAAGCGTCTGACTCTCGATTTCAGCTCAGGTCATGATGTTGCAGTTTGTGAGATCGAGCCCCACATCAGGCTCTGCACTGGCAGCACAGAGCCTGCTTGGGATTCTCTCTCTGCCCCTCCCCTGCTTGCATGCATGAGCGCTCTCTCTCTCTCTCTCTCTCTCTCTCTCAAAAATAAACGTTTTAAAAAAGGAGGCCCAAGGAAAAGAGGTAACTGTAAAAACGCTCTTAAGAACACTCTTAGCTCTTAGTATGCCCCATTTCTCACGGGCCAGGCTCAGTGGGGGGTAAGTGGGACATTCAAGCTGAGACTGTGAAGATGAGAGGGAGTGAGCCATGTGAAGATCCGGAACGATGGGAGGAACACCACACAGGGAGGGCGCCAGAAGTTACGGGGAAGGGCTTGGTATCACCGAGGTCAGGTCCGTTAAACCCTAAGAATGCTTGGTCGTCCTCCCTCGAGATGTAATCTAAGGACACCTTTCTCAGCCCTGCTCCTACAGCATATGCAACTTGGAGAATTTTTAAAGATCGCTGTTCTGATAGGATGCTGTGAGATGATTTTGTTTTACCGCTCACAGGAGAGAAGCAGACAGGGAGAGCCAGAGTAGTAAGCTGAACCACATGGGGTGGCCAGCTTCGTGGGTCAGCAGAGGTTGGCTAAAGGCAGTTTCAAATGCTCCAACCTCATCATTCTCAGTATTGAGACCGGCCCGTGGCCCAAGAGTGGTCAGAGAAAGTCTCTCGGCTTTATATCTCCTTTCACTCTTCTGCACATGCCAGATTGGGGTACCTGCACAGACTTGGGCCCTGGGCCGGGAGAAGAAGGAAAGGAAGAAGGAAGAAAGGAAGGATGGGAGGAAGGAAGGAAGGAAAATAAATAGCTGTTTACCTGTTAACCATTCCAATGAAAATCCTGGCCCAAAGAGTGGTCAGACATGGTAAGCCTCCCCCCTCCCCACCCCTGCCCAGAGGTGCTGCCTTAATTTATCAATTGTGTACTAACTGGAACCTGACATTGGAAAGACACTAATTATAGCAGTTAGGTTGGCATTCAGCTGCCTATAATAGAAAAGTAAGGTCTGCCAGGGTTACTAATAGCGGCTTAAACGGGACAGATCTTTATTTCTCTTTCGTGAAACATCCATCTGCAGGTGGGCAATCCAGGACTGGCTCGCAGGCTCCATGGTCAGCAGGGACCCAGGCCTCTTGTATTTCGCTGTCCCATCATCCTCACCGCATCACCTCATGACCCAAAAAGCGTCCTTGAGATTGAAGCATCCCCTCTGTATTCCCAACTGCTGTAAGGGAGAAGAGGGAGAAGGCTGTCGGAGAAGACTGTCCTTGGCATCCCACTAGGTGGCAAAGCATAGTCACAGAACATACCTGCATGAGAATGCCTTTACCTGCCTTTACTTTTGGATGGGCTCCTTTGCTGGTCTGACTAAAATGCACCTTTGTCAGAAAGGCAGAAAGCATGTTGGGGTCAACACTGCATTTTCCAACCCTTCTGGGGTGGAGCCCGCTGTTGGCCAAATCACCTGCATAAAGGAGAAGCAGATGTTATAAACGCAGATATACAAGACACCCGAAGAGAACAAAGAGTAAATCCTAGCATGCCCCACACCCTAACTTCTTTTAAAAAGCTCTTGATTTTCTCGAGGCTGGGTTTGGAATTTTAGAAAATAAGGCTTCAGGAAAATAAGGACAAGTTGCCCCACGTGAAACCTCCGTGCACATAATCATTGTACCGGCTATAATTGGGAGCTAATTTCATATTTCCCGCATATCATATTGGAAAATTGAGCTGTCAGATCTATTTAAGGGCTACATGCCGAATGGGAACACCCAAGCCCCGCTCTCTCCAAGAATACAATTCTGCAAAACCTTTTCTGTCTCTTTCTAAGACTTAACAATATTGTACTAGAAGCCAAATCCAATTGAGTAAGCTTTTGAAGTTCAGGTATCTGGTGTGTATTAAATTTAGAAAACTTACAGAAGACAGTGTAGCTGAGGGAAATCTTCTCTGAGGCATCCTTTTCCATGTAAAGTCTCTTAATTTCCAAGGTTTTTAAAGCTGTGGATTGTAATACAGTAGGCTGATGTCTTAAGCATTGTGTGAGGTTCAACTGGGTCTTGATAATCCTTGATCAGGGTGCCCTGACATACCCATGGAATCAAAAGCTTGGTTAATAAGAAATGAGCAGGGAATGATTCAGCCTTTCTCTCGAGAGAGATTAAACAACATGCTGTGAATGTTTATTACTGAAGCCTAGTGCAGGACCTTCGGTCTGTCACTCATCAAAGAATCTTCCACCTGGTGGACTGCCCCACCTGTGTTCTTTCCCCATTGCTTTTTCTGAGCTCTTTTGCATTTTTCCCCCCAAATATGCTTAACTGGGAGGAAACCTGCATCTTCTTTTCCCTAAAAACGTGTGAGTGCATGGATTGGTCCATCCAGTAAAAGCAGCTTGATTTTCTCACTCATTCTAGAAATAGTTGAGAGACGATGGTCATCCAGTATCTGGTGGGAGATACGCTTTAAATAAGATAAAATGACCTTGATGAAGAAGGGAAGAGGAAGAGAATATACTTCTGTGATTTGCTCTGTGAATAGTTTGTGGGCATTATTCTCAGGGAGAGTGTGCTATGCTGTGTTTGCCTTAGAGGTCAGGCTTAAGTCTTGTAAGTAGAAATTCTCAAGCAAGGGGATTGCAGCCATGCTGAGCAGGTGCAGATATGAATAGGACATCAAGTGGGAAAAATGCCTCCCTGGTGTCCCCTGAACCCCTTCACCGGAAGTCCTTTCCCCTTCAATCCCTGGTCACTATTTCCTGTCTTAACCTGTCTCAAAATGATCTGCTGAGACCAATTCACACCTCACTTGGAATCAAGTGTAAATGGATTTCATTGGAGTTTCAGTCACCGGTAAGGATCTGAGGAAGGATCTTTTGAGTAGCTGATTGCATAGGCCTTTATTTTTACCTTCTCATAAGACTAACTGTGTGGCAAGTGACTTTGAAGAAAAAACCTGGGAAGCGTTTCAGCAAGATTAATGATTGCAGGCCCATTCCCCTGATTTCATTGCGCCCAAGAAGGATCAAGGTGGGAAGTTCTGGGCG